TACTAGATCCAAGCTGTGCTTTCAGTAGATAACCTAAGTGAGCTGGTGTACAGCAGCTGGAGCTGATTATCAGCCAAACTTGGGTAACTCCGAGATGAATCTGCTTGAGGGGAGACAGGCAACAATTCTCATGATGAGGTAATTCTGAAGGTTGATTTTGTTTTGTTTTCTCTTAAGGGTTACTGCTGTTAAACAGTTGAGCACAAGTTGCATAGGTGCGTACCAAAAGCTCCACTCTAAAATCATGTAAGTTTATAGGTTTGAGCTAAATCTGTTGCAGTTTCAAGCTTGGTAAAACTGTTATGGGTCAAGCAGTTAGCCAGTGTTTTGAATACAGCAAATACTAACTGCAGATCTTTTTATATCTTCTTGTTTTATTATTAATAGATATTTGTATTGAGAGAGCAGGTGGCCCTTCATGGCTTCATTGTGGGAGTCACTGTTTAAAGTCGGTCATTTAATATCTTGTCAGGGTTTGCTTGCAGATGCTGAGCTGTCACAGTTCATCACTGTGTTAAGAGTCAGGACTGTGCGAACATCTCCGCGTTTCAAACATGCTGTACAGGAAAAAGTTGAGGCCTGGGCCACACACACATTATTCATTTTTTAACTGTATCGTGATACCAGTGCATGCTGCTGCGTATCTGTAGGTATAGTGGCACCAAGGTATCCTGTGGCGTAGTGTATTGTGTGATGATGCTGTAGCCCCTTGGTATCTTTGTCACTGGGGGATGTCACTTCACTGGGGGATGTCACTGGGGGGTGTCACTTCATCGAGGGGGAAGCGATTTCAGTCAAAGCAGGATAACTTTGCTGTGCAAAGACGCCTGATTTTGCTTTTTAACCATCCATGCCAGAGTTAAGGCGGCATTCCAGCTTCACATTTTTGTGGTGGTTGTTTCTTTTGGCCTCAGAGTTCCAGGGATCTGGTGCTAATTAGTGAACTAAATGTTTGACTTTTATTCATGATGAATTCACTTATGCTTATTCATCCTAAGAAAGGTAACTGTGCGCATTTGGCAGGCTTTCTAAGTGTCACTCATCTAACAACATAGTTCTGGTCCACAGGGAAGTTCAGAGGCAAATGGGATGTATTTTGAACACTCTAGCGCAGAATATGATGTGGACGTTGTGTTAATCATCAAACTGTCTGTATATGGGGGACAATAAAAATCTGAAGGAGGTGCAGAGGACTTGTTTGCTGATTCACTACAGCAATCAAACCACTTTTGATCCTCTCAGTTTTGTGAAAAGAATGTTCCAGAAGTTGAAATTTCATTGTTTTCCTTCAAAAAATGCAATCTGTCTTACTGCTACCTTCTTTCCTTGTAGCCCTTGGCCTGCTAAGACCTTACAGATGTCGGTCCCCGTATGATTTTTTTCCCCAGTGCCCTGCTGTCAATACCCTTCTTGCAGCCCTTGCTGTCTTTGCTGTTCCCCTCCTGGGACTTTCTACTGTTACGTACCCGCTCTGCTCCCTGGTGCTATTGCCTTCTTCAAAACACAGTTTGATACTCCATTTGTGCAAACCAGCAATAGCGCAGATCTTCTTACTTTGGCTCTGTTTATTTACTCTAACGGGGAGTCCCACCCCTGCTTCCTTCTTTGCTAGCTTAAATGTTTTTTTCCTGGGCATTATAATTCCCATTTGAATTTAACCCTCAGCTTCTTGGGGTTAGGGATTTGAGTTCCTACGTCTCTTGACTGCCCCAAAGTCTGAAAAATTAAACATAATGAACATGAAGTTGCAAGCATGGGCCACGTGTTCCTTTTACAACTTCTTTGGGGATGCTGAGGCTTGTGTGACTTGCAGAGAGGTGTTTGTAGCTGGAATCTCAGAAACGCAGAATCCCTTTTAAGCGGCTGCTCACACTAAAGAGAAAAGTCGGTAAATACTTCTGGGAGAGAGATGACTCAGGCATTGGTTTAAACACATGAATGATCTCCCTTGGCTGTAAGGGGCCTTCATGTGCTTCAAGTTAAAAGGGCGCTTCGGGAGCTTGCTAACTTGAGGCTCCAGAGGGAGCAGCCAGGAAAGAGGAGCATGGACAGCAGAAGGTTTCCCTAAAAGCAAGGAAGGGAGACCCTCAAACTCCAAAGGAGCTCGAGGAGAAGAGCTCCTTTTGTAAGCCTAGAAGCTGCCCTAGGCCTTCCCGTGGCTCTGGCTAAGACCAGCGGCCAAAATGGGATCTGAATTCCAGAAATACCCACAGGCAGTGGAAGCTCCTGGGGTTTCTCCAGCCAGACACAGTGTGTTTCAACATAGGAAGGAGCTGGCCTTGCTTTTATTTCTCTGTGTGTACAGGCAGTAGACGTTGCCCCAACAGTGTTTGGGGACTTGAAGAGAGATTTCCTGACCTCGCTGCCAAAGACAGCTTCTGAGACCACAAAGCCTGCATTTTATTTGCTCTTACAGCCAAAAGATGGCTGACTGTTTTTATGACAGTTTGATCCTCAAAGTGAACATTTATAGTACAGTTAGCCCTGGAGATTTCTGTTAGCTTCTTCTCTTTTCAGTGCAGTTTGAATTCCTGAGCACTAAATGTCTATATTAAATCCTTTTGGAATCAGATGTGCCCTGGGCAGCTTGATCTATCTGATTTTTATTTTTTCCTGTCCTAAAGCTATTCTTTAACCCACAAATTGAGGGATAAGTGACCATTTTGGAAAACCCTATTAAAAAAAAGCTTTGACATACCCTAAGGTCACATGTTTCGGTTCTGGCATTCAATTTGCTATTGTTTGAGCACCATTTTCCCTGCAATGTTCAGACAGCTTAGTTTGTTAAAAAGGTCTCCAGATTCTTTCTTTCAGGCCTAGGATGCAGCGATTCTCCTGATTTTGTGTGAATAGGATCTTGGAAACCAATGTGAAATTCAAATACAGGGGCACGGTAGGTATGTAGGTCACTCTTGTAAAATTTTAGGATTTTTGTTATTTATTATTTGTACAGTGGTAGCACATTGTAGTGATGTCAACTGGAGGGACTCTGTTGTGTCTCCCCTTGTGGTGGTAGTGCTTAGCCCCTCTGTAGGGCTCCTTAGGTTTTCCAAGTATTTCAGTATGACCCCTGGGATTCCACAAGTGAAGAAACTCAAAGCTGAGCAATAAATAACTTGCCTACTTTCAGTAGTCCAATAATTTTCCCTGTTACCCAGTGAGAAAGCCAGGGAAAATGGACAGTTCTGCTGAGTACCAGTCCAGTAGTCTCAGTCTGCTAGGATATATTTAAAAAATGAATTCTGTCTCAAAGACTTTACTGTCTAAACTAATGATTGTCACCTTCACAGTATGCAGATACAATGCAGACAATTTCCATGGAGTTTTCTCAAACGTGCAGTTTTTCAAGCTCTTGTAGAGCATCCTGAAGCCAGCTGACAGGAGACTGCTTTTCTTAGCTACCTTTCACTGACCCTGGTGAAGCAGCCCATGGACTCCCAGGGCCTTTCACACCATAGGTCGAACATCAGTCATCCAGCTTTGTTCTGGGAGGCTACAAGTGGAACGATATGAATTAGGGGTTTGGAGAGGGGGTTAAAAGTGCACATATAATCTAGAAAACAGTGGACAAATAGGCTCACCATCCAGGTTTGGGGAAGGGAAGAGGAAGTGTATTTGTTGAATTTACACATGGCGAGGCAGAGACAGTAAGCTTTATTTTTATTCCCATGCTTGGCTCTCTGGCACCTTGACTGTGCTAGCATGGGGCACATCTGTTGTTTAGTGATAGTGGCTTGACATTTCCTGTTGCTTTACTCTTGAAACTGTTTCCAAAGGCAGTAATGCTTACTGGGTGTAACTCCATAACTGACAAGGCAGTTCTTGGTGATGTCCTTGTGGATTTTAAATGCATGTTCCCCTTCTCCCCCCGCCTCCCCCTCAGCCCGCGACTGTTCAAAATGTATCCATGTCAAGTAGGTCTGAGAGGGTCTCCTACTGCTGGCAGTGTGCTAGTTCCTTAGTGTGGTTGCTGGATGACTTTGCTGCTGCTTTTACTTTTTAGGAAGAGTGGAAGAGCCTCATTCCAGCTGTTTCCTGAAATTTCCCTGGAGTGGTAGTTTAAAGAAAAGGAATTACTACAAAGGAGAAGCACGGGCTTATTCCTATGCTGATGCCACGTGGTGCAACTCAACCAAAGTCAGTTAATATACATTGCTTTACAGTGGAGGCAGTCTGGGCCTAAAATACTGGCTGAGCTCTTGCCTGTGCTCACATGGCGACTATGTTTTTGCCAGTCTTGATTTGAGCAAGGTTCTGTCATGTTTCTCCTGATTTGTGCAGACCTGGAAATGCACTGCAAAATTTATGCTATAAATTGTTACTGGGGGTAGGCTAAGCAGAAGCATTTTTCTTACCTTTTGCTCTGCCTGTTGTCTGGGCAGATGCAAACTTGCAGTAGGGATCCCTGCACTGGCAGCAACTGCACAAGGTCACGCTAATAAGCACTGCAGACTAATCAGGGGTGTGAGGGCTGTTTGAGGTACCAAGCCTGACATAGCTTAATCTGTCTGGTGTGGGTGCCGAGTGCTGCAAAGCCATCGTAGTTTGGACGTAGATTCAGCCTTGCCAGCTGAGCACAAACTAGCAGCTACGCTGCTGCTGGTCCCTGCCGCAGGTTTCAGCCGACGTGGGTGTGTGTACACACGCTGCGGTCGTGTCCCCGCGTGCCAGGAGAGCTTTCTGCAGTGATCTGGGAAGTGACAGGGTTGCTGAGAGGGAGTGAGTCTTGTGGAGATGGGGCAGGATGCAGGGGACAGGGACATCTCCCAGGTCCTGGACTGGTAACAGCAGTGCATGTGCATTTCCACTCTGTTTTCTGTAGTAGCTTGGGAACGTTTTTTTGTCTCATTTGCCCTTCCCCCTTCTTATCCTTTTGGCTTCTCACACAATTACAGACTGAGCCTGTGTGACTGTATGAAAGGCATTTCCTCCTGTTACTTTTTTTTTTTAAAGTCGGCTTCAGCCCACCAGCTGCTTTCCATTAGCGTTACACACACACGCTCACTGGGAGGGCAGCGCATGATACTCCGGGCACTGCTGAATAGCAGAAGTCCTTCAGAAACGCTGTCAGACAGGCTCCTCAGAGCAGGCTGTAGGTAAAAGGAGTTCAGCACGTTGGGACCTGTCTTCTGGCAAGCCTTCTCTGTGAAGCGAAGGCGTTGGGACGGAGGGCTGTGAGGGGTGTGTTGTCCGAATGCAGTGTGGAAGCTGTGAGTAGGTCTCTTTTATGTGAACAGTTGTTTGCTCTGGATATCTCTTCAAGGGTAGGAGCTGAGTGTTATCTGATGCTGTTTGATCCTGGGAGAGAGTATTTTTATTGATATTAAATATTGTCAGGCTGCTTATCCAGACTTCCTGATAGCTATTATTAGTGTGTTGTTTGCGATCTGTGCAAAAGGGCCTTAAACTTTCTTAAACTCTCCCTCTTGCCGTAGAGATGACAGGAGCAGTCGTCTTTAACTTTGTAAGCTCCCCCCTCGCTGTTATCAGTGGGGGCAGCAATGAGAGTCCTAGCGTAAGCTGCTGTTTGCGCCATTCCCTTATGCCTGCTTAAAACGGCTATGGTCCAGCTGGGGTCCTCCGGTAAAGCTGACTGGCTGTGGGAAATTTGTCCCAGAAACACTGTGCTGTAGAAGAGTATGATGAGATCAGCTGTGCAAGGTCAGATCCCAATACGCGCCGTCATGTTGTGCAGTACCGTTTTAGCAAAATTGTTTGTGGCACCGTTCAGCGTGTGCCCTGAATGTGGGCCTTGAAGTGCAGTTTGCTCGGCTTCTTGCACGGAGAGCAATGGGAGCTTTGTTCGTTCAGCTTCTGATAAGCTCAGGGGATCTGAAAATTGAATGGAAATCTTGCTGGTTCTGCTGTTGTTTTCCTGTTGGCTCTGAAATGCTGTTCAGTGGGGTTGCAGAGGGAGAACTTGCAGAGACAGAATTTGGCTCACTTACTGTCATTGGATTAACAAGTTCATTGATAGTTCCTGAGCTTGCAGGGTTCCCAGGGAGGAAAGCAACCAACCACATTTTGTCAGAACAAAGTCCTCTAACGTGCTTTAATAAGACAGAGTAAAAATTTAACCTGTCAGTCTGCTTCTGCTGAAGAACGTGATCTGAATCTTAAAGCTTCTTTCGTCCTGTGTTTTTACGAAAGTAGCCACTCAGGAAAGACAGAGGGGCTTTCCCTTAGGCCCTGCTGCAGCTTGAAGTGTGTTTTGGGGGAGGCTGACTGCACGGTGGTGGCCTAGAGGATGGGATGAGTCACGTGCAGTCTCCCTGTGTTGCTCCATCTTGCTATGCAAAGCATGTTTCCTGAAATGCAGACCATAATTTGTGTTCAGATGATGTTTGTTGCCTGAAGGAAAATGGTCTTTCAGAGCTCCAGGCAAACATTTCACCTCTTTAGCCAGTTGTCTTTGTCTTCTTTAGGCTCTCAAGACCCTAACCAAATGCAGTGCCTGATAAAATTCTTGAGTCCTAATTTCCTCAAGCATTTATTTGTTAGGGAGGAGGCTATTCAGCGGTCAGCATCTCCTTGGAACTCTCTCTCACAGGGTTTTCCAGAAGACTCATGCAGAAGGATGGGACTGAGGCTGAAGAAACACTAAAGGCAGTGTAGGGGCTTGCTTACTGTGCAGCATCTCCAACTCTCCTGCTTCATCTTCTTCCGACGTCGTCTTCCTTCCTGTCCTTCAGACAGCGGGGAGGCTGTGTGTCTTCTGAGGCTGAGCAGAAGGCGTTTCTGTTAGTCTTGGGCTTTTGTTACATGGAGAAAACTTGAGTCCCATGCAACATTAACTTCCCGGGAGCCTTTGAATACACAAACCAAGCAGTGAAAGGGAATTGTCTTTTCTCTTTTTAGCGATCGCATGCAACACATGTTAATACGTGTGCACGTATTGTACTCTGCTGAGCAGAGGGAACGGTCAGAAGACAGCCCTGGGATTACGCGGTGTTAGCCCTATCGCTGTCTCCTCCTGTGGGGCAATCCAGACGGTTTGTAAAAGGGCGTCAAGACTGTATCTGCCCTGTTCCTGGACAGTATTTCCAGGACTCATTAGTTCCTCAGCATGGTAGGGTTATTAATGACAGTTGTGTACAGGATAGCAGGGAGCATATATCTAAACCATCAGACCAGATGAGCACAGTGCAGATTGCTAACTCCCTCCTGTTGCCTGCTTTGAAAAGTAAAGAAATCCCTGCAACTCTATAGGAGTTTTAGTGTTTTAAAATACACCCTGGCGTTACAAATTCCAATGGCAAATTGGATCCAATCATGCCAAATTTGTTTTGATTGCAGTTGTACAGGAAAACTCTTTGCTGTTTGCTGGTAATTCATTAATTCATAGGTTTAATAATCCAGCCCATTGCCCTGTGCAGAGAGAGATGAGCACTGTGTTCAGGATCCTTGCTGCTCTCGGGAAGCCTTCAGTCTTTTCCAAGGCCTTGCATGGGAATTACCGCCGGAAGCTTACCGGGCAGCATCAGACCTGGTTTGTAAGGTGTCTAGCAGAGAGCGAGCATCTTCTTTGTACTGTACCTCAGCAGCAGGAAGCCTGTGCATATGCAGGGATCGCAAACGCTGTGTGAAGGGGGAGTAAGAGCAGGATTATGAAGTTGTGGAACAGGCAGATATGCCCACTGTTGGACATCGAGTGGGAGTCAAACAGCAGCTGGGACTTGACATCCCTGCCTGCCCCCTTGGCCATAGCTGTCGACCTGTTGCTGCCCTCCTGCGCCTGCCCACCCTCCCGCCTGCCTCGGCGGAGAGAATCTCCTTCATCCCTCTGTGAGCTCTTTCTTCCGGATGTCCTCTAGCATCTCCTGGCCCAAAGAATATTGGAAATGCTGCTGCAAAAGGCCATTTGTTTGAACCGATGTTTTTATCAGTAAAAATCAATACACATACTGTATTTGTTTAAAACTTTGTCTGATGGCGTAGTGCTGTGGGAAGGCTCGCAGGGTGCACGTGTTTCGTGCCGCTGATTGAACTGAACAAACACGTTATTGATACATCCTGACCACGTGCAGCACTGCGTCTGTCAGTTGTTATTAAGGGCTGCAACTGGTGGATGTCTGGGGGTTCGATCAGTTAGCGCCTGTGCACTCACATATGTTTTTATTGATGGGGTTTCATCCTCTTTCTCTCCATTACATTGATCCCCCGGCTAGCTTTTGTTACCCAGAACTTTTCCTAGCTGTTCTCTGTAAAGTGCAAGACACTGCAACCAGAATTTGAAGTCTAAATGTTGTCTGAATGTTAACTTTTCTTAAGATATTTCATTAGTCTTTTAATGATGTAACTTGCACTTTGTTGTAAATATTCTTTTTCTTGTCATTTAAATATTAGTTAACGTAAAGGCCGGAAAAATCTGCGGTGGTGTTCCTTACCTCAAGTCACTCTTCAGTTCTCTGAGCAGTAGTGACACTGTCATCACGTACAGAAAGGCACCAAACCATTAGGCCCTAAATAGGGTACGTTCACAGGTTCCTAATGCGCCTGACACATGACCTCTATTAGCCCCAGAAAGCCCAGCTATAAAACTGAGTTAACGCAGGAGCCGATTTGACTGTAAGGAGACTGCCTTGGAGCTGAACTGCTTTGCAATTATACTTCTACTTGTAAAAAAGATATACCAAATGGAAATAAATGCTTGCAGTTATAAGCACAGCAGTCAAAATCTCTCCAAGGGTTGGAAGGATCCTGAGTGAGCAGCTGAGATGAAGGAGTAATTTAAAGAAATGTAGAGCCAGTGAAAACAAAGCTGGATTTGCAATCAACATTGTGACTGGCTTTGATTTTATTTAAGGGGGCAAAGCAGAAATTAGAGGTGCAAATGAGCCAAATATCAGGCCTGCATATGTTATGTGAAAATAAGCTGAAGTGTGGGGACTTGCCAGCTTGCCACTGCAAATTTTTTGAGTGTTTTCTTGGTGTTTCATTTCAAATACACTGTTCTTTCCCTGAAGGAAAGTCTAATAGAACCAATGTGCACAGTATACAGAGTTGAGGGGAAAAAAATGGGTCCAAATTTCTTTTTAATACAGAGAAGGAGTCTATGTGAAAACCTGTTGATGACCACTCTAATCAAAATATTCAGGAAATACAGATATTTCCAGAGGTAATTGATGAGACGTGGGATAAAGAGGGAGAAGAGTTGAATGGTAATGATCATCCCAAAGGGAAAATCTTAAAAGCTTTGTTTCTTATTGCTTCTTGGTACTGTCTAACAATAGTTTCAAAAGCATCTTCAGTGTGTCTTATTTAGAAAAGGCATAGGCAGCCCTGCTCTCTTGTAAGGACTTCCTCACTGATTTCATCAGGTTGGGATGAGACTGGAAGTGCAGTGCATTAATACACTTCTCTGTGCACAGCTCACGGATGATCTGTTAAAACAGAAGGAAATAGCAGTCCCTCTCCTCCTTTTCTCTCTACAGTACAGCAGCATGGCAATTTGTATGTCTGTGGCGATAGCAGAGGGAAAGCTTACTCCAAACTGTTTTTCTGCAGGAGCCTTGTGTCTGTTACATCCATGGCCTGTTGCCTTTATTTCAACAGTCCCTTTGCCTCCAACTCTGATTTTGTGCACCTTATGTTTTAAGGTTATCTGAGAATGAGGGGTATCCATGAGGTCGTATTGAAGTACTAGTACCCTTGGAGCTGGCAGATCAGAGGAGGTGGGGGTGATACAGAAGAAAATACAGTAGTTGACTGATTGGCCAAATTAATATATAATTGTAATCTTGCTTGCTGCTGAGATCAGTATTGTTACACCACTTGGAGGTAGAAAATTATTCTGGAAGGCATATGCAGAAAAGGGAGCAGGGCTTGTTTCTGAGTATTTTCATTTATTAATAAAGTTTTCTTACTCTTTAAATCCTGGCACAGCATACTGGAACTGCTATGTAAATGTATCACTTGGATATCTCCCATAACAAAGGGCAGTATTTATGAGCTGCCCTGCTAAACTGTCACATTTCCATTGTTACTTGACATTTCTCCTGCAACTCTTGTGGTCTGCTGCTTAATTCCTTTGTCTCTGACAGACACCCATTTAGGAGTCTTGGAAAATACAAAGTGGAGCCAGTTAACATTGAATGATCTTAAAACTAGACTGAACTTTTGTTTTCATCAGGGAGGAAGATGATGCCATCAGCTAATTTGGTTGATCAATAGCCCTGCTTGCGATAAGGTTTCAAAGCTTGTGGCTAAAAGCTGATTGCACTGGATCCAAAATAAATTTGATCTATTGGCTTCCACAAATGTAGCGTAGCCCAGGATGATGGTTCAGTGCTGATGCTTAATTCATTTTTATAGTACCGACAGACGAGCTTGGTGCCTGCTGTGAGGACACTCTGCTACATGAATGCTCAGCAGTGCAGCTCTTACTTAAGATGTTTTTTACAGTAGCGTGGAGCTGTCACTCTCTAGCAGATAGCATTCATAAAGATTCATTATTCTGAGACTGGGAAGCATTACAGTCTCTGTTGGGTGTGTTTAATGGCTTCTTTCATTTAATGCAAACTTTGATCCTGATTTCCTAGAAAAGAAAGAGGTGCTGGCGAGAAATGAGACTGGTTTGTTAGTATTGGCGAGAGAAGTAACCGTTACTGAAAAATTAGGAAAAGCTCTGTGGCTGAAGCGCGAAATAAGTGTGCAAGCCCTGTTTGTGATAAGCATTTGGGAATGCAGTTTCAGAAGGGATCCAGCAACGTTCGTTCTTTATGCTGGGTGGGACCATAGCCTTTTCAGAAGGTGGACTAAAAGTTAACCAATGTTTTCCTCTTATTTCAGTGACCGTATCATGGCTACAGGGCCAACAGATGTCATACAGTCACCTGAAACGGGAGAGACAGCTGAAGAATGCACAGGTAAGCAGCTGTTCTCCAAATGTCCAGCTGATTTGGAAGTCACGGTTTATTTCCTTTAGGTTATGGGGAGTCTGTAGTGACTTGTTTTGCAGTGTTGCCTGGGTTTTCTTAGTATAAGAAAAGACTCCTGCATGGCTTTGTCTGCTGGCAATATTACGGGAAGAACCTTTAGTATGGAGTCCAGGAGAGCTAAAACCTGATGTAGGATATTCTTTCGTGATTATGGGTTTGGATTTCAAAAAAAACCGGACGTTAGATTACTGATTACTGCGCCTGCTTTGATGTGTGTTACAGAGCTGGGTGCTGAGCATGTTAGCCAGGCTGGCTGTATTAGCTTCTGTCTGTGAGAGATGTGCCTGGCCGTATCCCCACTGCAGCCTTACTTTCTGATCTGGCCACAGACAACCACTTATTACTTATCCTTTCATCTAGTGGCATGGGCTGGTGCACTGTCAAGCCGACTTGAGGGAGTGGGAAAACAGGCAAGAAAGGAAAATGTCTTACCTATGCCAGAGAGTTGTCTTAATTAAAGCAAATCCCCTTTGCCAGCGTTCAGACTATTCTTGAGGAGATAGGTGCGTATGAAGAGTAATATAATGCCTGAAGCATTTTCAAGAGGAATGGCTGTCATATCACTTCATTATTTTTTTGGCTAATGTTTCTCAGATCGTCTTCAGTGTTTCAAAGATCATCTTGCTTTATCCTTTAGAAATACACTTGCCACCATCAAAATATCGGTAGAAGAGACAAGCAAATGGCAAAGTGAGTGTTAGTTGAACCCCGCGTGGCAGATAGGTAAGGGTGAACGGAGTGTCCTGATGGATGCTCAGCAGCGGCTGGTTTCTTAAATGTCTAATCTAGTTTATCACATAGTCCAGTGCTATTCCAGGCACACTGGTGACCTCATGTGAAACTCAGGCATGCAGTTTTTATGCTTAGGTTTGCTAGAACATTCAGCAAATGGATCAAATTCTGAGCTTGGTGACAATGAAGGCAGGAGCTGGCTTGCTGTCTTGAGTTTTGGCTCCAAAAAGAGCAGGGATATTTCTGTTTCTAACTGAGCTAAACTTCACAGAAATTAAAAGCTGCTGCACTATTGCTGAAGTATTCAGGAGACACTTGACTGGACTGGGATAAAGCCACCTTTTTTTTTTTTTTTTTACTTTTTAATACCTTTTATTGATTTCCATGCAATATAGGATTACCTCACATCTTCCTCTTCATAGGTTTAATTGGCCTGGAATTCAAAGGCCTTTGGAGGCTAAAATTCACAGTTCAGTCAGATTAATTTCTTGGAGTTTGCCTTATTATCTGATTATCAGTAGAGCATTTACTGGTCTTGCTGTTCCTTCGTGATGGTAGTGACCAAGCTCACTGTCCAAAAACAGTCAGCATCCAACATTAGCCTTGCTGAATTCTATGATTTTATTGCCCATCTGACAATACTGAGTATTTTTTATGAAGCCTGTTCGTCCAGGATCATGGTATTTTTTTGATACTCTTGTCTGTGTTTTTTTAATCACGTATTTTTATTGGTAAAAGCCCTTGCACTTGAGGAGAAAACTTGAAAACATGTCCTGAATGCACCTTAGGAAGTCAGATGGCATAGAAGATCCCTAAATGAACCATTTAATTTAAATAATGACTATTGAGCTCCCAAATCAGATGTTCTCTGTTTTTAGGTACTCCTGTCAGTTGTTGTTCTTACAGTCTCAGTTTTGCACTGGGAAAAAGCATCTTTTTCCTATCCTGTTATAGGAAAGAACCATGCAATGAGCAAAAAGACATGCACTAATGCTCTCTATATGCAATACGCAAACAGTAAAAAATATAGAATAAAAAAGCTTTAAAAAAATACTTATTCATGCTCCTTTTCTGTTATAGCGGGCTAACTTGTAGTTACGATAAGCAAATTGTGTTTGGGAAGGCTTTTGCTTTTTAAGAGCAGTAGTCCTTGAGTTTCATCTTTTAATATAAATGCCTTAAAATTTAAGATCAGCAACCATAAGCATTCAAATATCATGAGTCATTATGCATCAGTGGGTGAATGGGAAATAGGCATAGTTGTCTGAGCTTGGATTTTCTTTGCTTGTTTTGACTGGGTTTTTGTTAAGCAGCTTTTTCCATTTTAAGTAATAAAATCATCTTGTGTATTATTAGTTCATATATCATAGAGCACTCTACCATTCTGTGATATGGTGGGTTACTTCACGGTGCACTGAAACACAGGCACCTTTAAGTGAAACATGGCAGCTTTTTAACAGCGTGCAAAGCTAGTGCACAGTTTACAGCAGGAAACTAATGAGTGTGGTTCTGAGCTGTGTCTTTTCTGCCAAATACTTGCACAGAGCAGAACCGATCCCACAGTTCTCATCTGGTTGCAACACGAAGTCTCTAGTAGTGATTTTATCTTTTTTGCGTAATAAAATGGCAACTGCCCATCTTTTGTAGCTGCAGGGAAACCTCCTGTTTCTCATTCATCTGAAACAGCTGAAGGCATGCAGCTGGGCAGAGCCCAGCTGAGGAGGACTTACTGCTGGAGAGGATGTGCCCTGCACATCAGCAATGAATTAGTGCTTAGAGAAGGCGCTCAAGTAGCTGATGTGTCTGCATCAGAGGACTGCGTGCTGCACAGTGATACTTGAGCATTGTCCTGTGCCAGCTGCGGTTTACTCGTTGGCACTGTTCACGTACCCTTGCAGTGGCCTCCCTTCTAAAGTTAGCGGCGCTTTGGATCTAAACAAGTATTCAGAGGAATACCTTGAAAATGTTATCTTTTGTGGTAAGACTTATGGCTGTTTCTCCTAAATGTCCTTAGGGACACTTGTGCTTTTTTTGTTTATTTTGCGGACATTCCCCTATTTCTTCTGGAAATACCAGCATCTGATTAAGCCCATCAGTAATACCAGCACTAGAATCAAACTTGTTTGCTGCCCATATCACTGATGGCTGTCCAGGGTACATCACAATGTCCTTGTTTTTCATTTAGAGTGCCTTCAAATTGAAAAGTTCTCTGCATGCAGCAAAGTCTGCCGTTTTGTTCTTTGAGTCATTGTAGCAGATGTTGCTGGATTGATAATTTTGGGGCATTTTTTTAAGAGACTTCTTAATTTTTTGTTTTGCTCACCTGAAGTAAACCACTTTAGCTTTGTCAAGTTTGTTGGGAGAATATAGTATATGATGGTCTAATTGCTGATATGAGTGGCAGTAATGGGAGGGAGGCATTTCTAAAGACTCTCTGAAGGACGCTCAACACGCTGATTTTCTTTGAGAGGCAATGTGGTCTTCTAATTGCTCTGTGACCTGCCTTCTCTTATCAGCTCTTGTTGGGTACTCAGTATAAAACTCATTGAGCCCCATGTGCAGCTCGTCTCTGGAGTCTGGGGCAGGCAATTTATCCTGTATGTTTTCTGTGACTATATCGATTCACTTAACTGCCTTGGAAACAGCTTTGAGATCTTCAGCTGATAAACCCCTCCATAGGAGTGCTACATCCGTGGATAGTCCTGTTTTATACTGTCTGAAAGGTAATTTGGTCTCAGTGACAGCCCGAGTCCCTGAAAAAGCAACGCGGAGCTCTTCCGTGGTTGCTACCGCTCTGCGGAGAGGTAGCCCTGCCGTCCGGTGCAGCAGCATCACTGCGTGCCCTGATGCCTGTGCTGACGCGGGTCCTGAGAGCGGGTGGAGGCCGGCTGAGCAGATCTCCGTGTCATTGTTTATTCCTCAAAGTGGCTACTGTCCGAGGTACAGCGCAGCTGTGCGTGGCACAGTTTCAGCCCAGATACGGCCCTTTGGCAGACATCCCTACACGTACAGGGCATACGTTGAGACAGAGCGTTGCCAGCTAAATCACTGCTGGAGAAGACAATAATTGTGTTGAAATAATGCCTTGCTTATGAAGGAATCCTCCAGCTGTGGGCATTTATTATGCCATCTGCCTTAAAATATTAATTGGACAATGACTTTGGCTCTGTTATGCAGTGATGTTATTGCTCTGCATACGTATTTGAGTCAATCACAAGGGTCTCAGTACAATAGTTTGGCCTGAACCACTCAAAACTGACCCTTCAATATAAGAGTCAATAATAAATAAAATGGAGCTCTTGTGTGCTGAAAAAATATTAATAAGAATGTTCAAGTATCTTAGGTTATTAAAAATGAAAGAAGTCAATTGTGCTTCTTGTAGGTTATTTTTGTTCTATTTGTATTTCTCTTCGTTTGGACAATGGAAAATCTAAGTCAGATTAACAGGCTTACAGCTGTGTTTGTAGGCCTGCTATGTTTGACGGTTTCATGTCCTGGAGAGGAGTATGATAATTTAAGAGCAGCTTGCTCCATTGGCCTTGGGGGAGTTGCTGATTTTATTTCGGGATAGTGGTTTGGTGTGGAAACAGATCTTTTGGTTTTAGGGTTTATAAATACTTTTGTCAGTTTGAATCTTTTTGCCAAATCTTGAATATTCTTCAGATGTTGACTCCTTACACCACTGAATAGAGAAAGAAACAGAACCAAACCAAGCTCACATATTAAGAGACGTTAAGGCACTAAGCCATTAAATTAATTGCTTTACTGAAAATGAATCAAGTATGATGAGCATGTTCACTGTTTAGTTGTAGATAGATACACTCTCTGTATAAAGTGTGTGGTTTTTTTTTTTTTTTTAAATAAACTGGAACCTAAGCAAGCACCACTATTGTCAGCTTAATGGTGGTGTTGCTTTATAGGCAGCAAATCTATGAATTGCAGCTTCACCTTTCACTGGACTCCAGCATTGAATTATTTACAAAGCAGCTGAGTGGAACTGGAATGGGTTGCTCTAGCCTGTGGCTCTCCCTGTAAGCTTTCTCCAGCGTTTAAGAGATAACGTTCTCCAAGCTAAGCAACACCTCCAGCTTCTGTAAATTTTCATTTTTTTCATGTTGCAGGAAAGAAAAAATCCAAATTTCAGACGTTCAAGAACTTCTTTGCCAAGAAGAAAAGGAAAGAGCCTCCAGCTCCCAGGGGGGAGAGTAATTTAAAACCCAGCCAGTCCAGCAGCGATGTCAGCATCTCTGTTCTCGACACTACAGCACTTCATTCGCCAAAGGAGGCTGGGTAAGCTGGCGGGGAAGGAAAATAAATAAATAAAAGCGGACCTCTCGCTGCAGTAGGATGAAAGCGTGAGTTGGCCCCTTAGGAGCAACCTCTGTCCAAGTTTGTGCAAAACAAGCCCTAATGCTGATGAAGGAATTTCAGGAATTTCCTCTTTCTTTGCTACGTGCTTCAAAAGCCAGTATGGAGAGAAGAGGGACGGCAGCTAGGGGCAGGGGTGACCTAACCTCTTAGTCTGTAAGCTGCAGATAGCCCAGATTGTTTTGATTGGTTTTAGTGTCTGAAATCTGTCCTGGCAGGTCTGACCAGCCGCAGCTTGGCAAGAAAGCAATGATTGAGTAGTCTTAGCACAGAATACATGTGAAGTTGAGTTGCTGTGTTTTAGCGTAAACGGTGCCCTCTGTCATGTCTGGGTTAAAGGGGAAGACAGTGTTTATGGTGTAGTCCCAGTATGAGGTTGCAGCTTAGTTTAACTTTCTTATGTAGTCATTTCGGTATAGATAATAACAGAAGGTTTCTAGTTTTGTACCAGGCACCCCAGAGGGACTGCACCTATTAGTGAGGTTTGTAACTCATATGCAGAGTTTGCAGAAGGAGCCTTGCAAATCTCAACATGTGTCCAGAGCAATTCTCAGGTCCCTGAATGATGTTTGTTCAAAAAGCTGTCTTTTTTTGAAAGTTAGGGTAGTAAAAGCTATTAGCTTGCCCTGCTGATATCGCTTCACTCATAGCCTTAGACCATCTAGCTACAGCCACACCTCTCTGCGCATCTCTGACTGAGTCGGAGGTGGGATGACCCTCTGAATATGGTTAGATCTCTTGCCGAGGGGGTGGGTATTATTTCTTAGCTAGGGAAACAGGCTGTCATGGAGCAGTACCTTGCAACCTATGATTTGGCTGCTTTCCAATCTTCTGGAGCCTCCCCCCCCATGTTAGCTACCCAGCCAGGCCTCTCATTGGAATAGCTGAGGCCTCAGGTTGTTGTGGAGCTGCAGACTAACCGTGTGTCACAGTACACCAGCCTCACCTTAGGGCGTGCAGTGGTTTGTTGGAGGGCGTGTTAGATGGGTATGTCACTGTGGTACAGAGCACAAATGGATGGCTAGGGTAGGAGATGCTGAAATCAGCATTGCTGTCAAATGCGTAGTGTCATCAAATATGGCATGTTTCTTTGTTTCTTCTGGTGGAGCAAGTTCAAGATGTTTCCTTCTCAAGAGTGCTTGTGTCTCCTTGCCCCAGCAGTCTTTTTATTTTGTTTGTTAGTGTAACGCTAGCAGAGTGAGTGACCACGCAACCAGTCCCTTGGGGTAAGGGGGAATTACGGGGACTCAGCTAACCCAGTCCAAAAAGCTTAGGAACCGCTGAGCTTACCCCGTCAGCCCATAGGAGGGATCTGGCATAAAATCAGCTGTCTGCTCCAGGGGCAGTGTGGGTGAAAACTCTTTCTCTGCCCTTAACCAAGTACTTCAAGTCCAATTGCTGTTTACCTCAGCACTATCCTCCAGTGATTATTAATTGTTTCACAAGACCAGAGACCAGGAAGTTAGTAAAACGCTTCTTGTTTTTCTCTTAGAGATAGGGTTGAATGGGCTATCCAAAAAAAATCCAAGGGTATGTTTGTGCTATTTGAAAACCCCGTCATGTCCAGAACCTGCATGGCATGAGCACGCTTTATAAATACCTAGGGAGATTGAACAAACTAATCCTTTGGAAGACCTGATCCTGGAAGCCAGTGGAAATATAACTTGTGAAGGTTTGTAGCACTGAGCTTTGCAATTTTTGGCATGCAGAATTCCAAACCCAATCCTAGAACAATGCCGTTGTTTGTTTGTTCTTGAGGCAGAGACACTGGTTTTCTTTCTTTCTTTTTTTTTAAACCATGTAATCTGTTAAAAATTTAATTTTTCTGAAAGCTAATCAGAGACCAAACCCCTAGATGTGCCAAATGCTCTTGTAATAGCCAAAGAGATGTGAAGGGAAGCAGAGGGTTGGCAAGGCTTTTTCAGAAGCCCAGATATCATGGGGCTGCAGGGAATCAATGGGACTGGGTATCTGTGAAGGGGAAGAGGCCATTGCCTCTTTATCTTCAGAGAGGCGTGAGTTTTGAACATAAATGGAAAAACCTCCTTGATTACAAAATTAAAGCACATACCCTAAACTACTTCTCTGTATTATTAAATGGGTAAAAGAACTGACATAGGGGAGAATTTGATCCCCAGAAACCTTATTCCAGTTAAAAAGCTTTGAGCAATGTAAATTGTCCTTATCTTTGTAATGAACACTCACTCCTTTTGCAGGCTATAGTTGTTTTTGGGAGAGCAGCTGCTTGAAAGAACTGTTTGATTGGGGGGAAAAAAGGCAAAGCACTAGGAGAAGGAGTGGGGTTGTAGCAATAAGAAGTGGAAGACAGCACAGGCCATGATGAGTTTAGGAGGGGCTTTATCGCTGGATTTCCTCGTCGTTTCCTCAGTCGCCGCAGCTTGAGGGTTACTGCGCATGGATGAACTGAGCATTTGTATAGGGAAATCAGTGTGGAAATAGAGTGGCTAAAACATCTGCGGTTTTGGCTAACAGTGCATCTTTAGCTTCAACACAAATATAAATACACTGCCTGGAATTACACATGAATGTATCTATGTGCGTAGGAGACTCATATGTGCTAAAGCTGCATTTAATTCTAAACTTAATCTGATGCCCTTTTTGCCACTGCCAGAAGAAAATACAGTAATTCTCTTGCAAGTGTGTATGATACATATGCAGGGAGAGAGAGAAAGAGATCTTGTACTGACAGTCTATCTCAAGAGCAAGAAAACTTCAGCTTTTATTGCTAAAGACTTCCAAGTAAATGGAGTGAGGAAATCTCAAATTAAAAAGGTTAATACGTGCTAACGCTAATTGCATTCTGTGCAATAAATAAAGGAAAATACGTGAACGAGTAGTGAACATAAATATTCCTTACAGCAAATAAAAGTTAGGTGACACTGTCTTTCTGAACGCAGTACAACTATTTCCGTGCTGTCTTGCCCATATAGAGTGCCTTTCATGCTGGAAAGGATTGTTTAAAATCAAATATAGACAAAGACGGAATGGCTCCGTTCACTCTAATGATGAAATAAGGCACATGTTTTCTAGCGTGTAGAACTACTACCCTATAAACTATAACACAGACATTAACTGTTATGTATCATGGGAGGAAGCCTGAGGGTCCGGCCTGTGCTGTGGGAGAAAGAGCTCAGATTGTCTTTAGTGCGACATAAACGTAGAGCAAAACTATTTTGCCCTAGTATGACACATGGTGTAGCTGTGTACTGGTTGACCACACTGATGGCAAAAGGAGGGTTCGTCAATCAGACAAAGGAGATGCTGTCTCCAAAGATGTAAGGAATGGAGATGCAGGAGGAAAAAAAGAGTCATTTGTTTGTTTGGGTTTTTTTATGTGGTTTATTTTCTTTTTGGAAGTTCACTGTCTTCCAGGGCTTGCTTCCAAATTAAAGAGAGAATCTGAGGCTAGGCAAATAACAGACCTCGTCTATCTGGATTTCTTGCAGAAAAATGTTAGACTTGCTAGATTTTTCTTGCCAGAATTTCATTCCTAATCATTCCCTGTAACCCTGAGTCAACTTCTAAAGACAACGAGCATTGCCTGCAAGGCAGCTGAGCCAAGGAATCCTTGTAACTTGTGGGTTACAAGGCTGGCAGCCAACAACAGGAAAGTGTTTGTTTTCCAGTTAAGTACGAGCGTGAAATCCTGATATAAGCCATCCTTTTGGTCTTTTGGACAAAGCAGTGCAGAGACAGTGCCTGCCTATGCTGGTGCCACTTTGTGAATAAAAGAGTGGGAGTCTTCCCTGTAGTGCTCCCCAGTGCAGAATTTGCTCTGTACGACCTAACAGCCCAACCCCAATCAATCTCATTTGGTTACAACTCAGTTAACGGCTGTAATGGAAACTCATCTCCCCTGCATTGGAATGAACACCCAGAGAGCATAGAAGTGGGGCAGGAATATCTTACCTGGGTACTCTAACTCGGCCACGGATAGGCATGGAAGTGTGGCCATGGACGCTTGTCCTGTCTACCTCTTTTAATGTGCCCAGAATCCAGCCATGTACTTTGTGAGGAAAAACTCTGTGGGCAAAACTTTGTGGGCAAAACTCTGTTACTGGACCTGAGAGGATTTGAACCAAGTTTATGAATGTGGTGGAATTACATTTTCTACCTGCTTTTGCAAGAAGAGGAAAAGAAATTCACAATCCGTGACAAGTACGACCCTCATCAGGCTGCAGAGGTTAACACCGTGAATGTCCCATGCAGGGCATATTGGCACCAAAGGCAGGGATGCCTACCTGTAGGCAGGTCTCGGTGGCGGATGCATTCAGCTAAATGACTTCAGCATCTAACCTAATCACTCTGGGCTCCCTCTGTAGTCATAGTGATTGGCCTGTGTGTTCAATGCAGATATTCAGTCCCTCCTAAAGCAGACACCTACATTAGATCGGCATCCTAAAAAGTGCTTCTTTCTTCCTTCTGAGTGTAAAGGGAACTGGCAGTGACTAGCTCAGACAACTAACCTGCAGAAATCTGAAGTTAAATGAGAGGTACGTGACCCCAGCCTCTTTATGATCCCTCTGCCCAGTTGAAGTGGTACGAGGAGGTATTGGAGGGTTGTACCTAGTGCACTGACCACTCTTCCTTCCTTCCTAGGCCCAAAGGAAGCATGGGAAACAAAGCCTTGTCCCATGACAGTGTCTTCATTTTTGAATCTGCACCAGGAAGTGTGGCAGGTGATACATCATCTCAGGAAAACATACCTGGAAGAGTGAAAACTTTACAGGTGAGAACATCTTCTCTCAATCATGCTGCTGTTTTATATTAACTGTCTCCTAGAAAACTCTATCCATATTCCTTGCTTGATTCCTCTGCCATATGCCTTAAGACTTTGACTGAAGTGTTTGAAGCCAGATTTACTGCTTTTGAATCTGTTCTGCCTCTTGGAATCCGCGCCTTTGAGCACTCCTGATGCTTTCAGCCTTGCCCAGGTCCCACAGTGTGCTTGTGATCTGTCTCCAGGAGTCCATGAACTAGATTCTTTCCTTAATAAGTATATCCTCTTCCATTGGGATTCCCATTCTTTACTTCATAGCTATTGCTGTTGGGTGAAGGCCATTTATTTATACTGCAGAGTATTCCTTACACTGTTATTCTTTATAAAGGCATTTCTTTCTTGCAATTCTGGCTGCGATGTTTTCACAGTACATGCTAGTACCAGGGGCTGCGTAAGTGTGTGGGATGACGGATATATCAGGGCATTCTTAGTGACAGCTTTATTTATATCATTATCCTTCCGATCCCTGCCAGCAGAGGATACTGTATTCTGCTAGGTCATTTCCTTCTTCCAAGGCACACATTGAACCCTCCATGACAGCTCCTTTATCAGCTGTTGGTTATATTAATTGCATTCAAATAACTGCCCAGCTCAGAGCACTGAGGTAAAGTTTAAGGTTTTTCCAGAGACTGGAACAAACAGTTGATAAGGCAGCCAAAGGCCATTCAAATTCTTTCTTTGCTCAGTGTGAACTTCTTGTTGCAAAATACATTTGCATCACATGTAATGGAGTAATAGAAGATGCACAGATGGACTTGTTCTCCCATAAAACTGCAAAATAGGCCAAGATTCAATTCAGGATGTTTTTTGCATAGCGATAGGAGCAGCAGGAGAAATTACGTTTATTCATGACAGACTTTATTGGGGAAAAAAACCCTCCTTACCTTACATGTTGTCACCAGCTTCATGTACCCTCTCTTCAACCATGCACCATCGTGCGTGGTAACATAATACTGCCAGCACTATTTCCATAGCTATGAAAGACAGCTTGACTCTTGTCAGATTAAAAGCTAAGCACTGATAAAAGCTGTTATTTTCTTAGCAATGTAGATTAACTTTACCAGTAGAAGACTGACGGTAAATTTGGCAGTTTCTCCCAGAACACTTTGCTGTCTGCATTTAATAAATTTAATAAATCAAAAATGGACAGATGTGAAAAGAGAGGAAAGCAAAATTTACTTCCCATATTTTCCTTTCCGTGAAGCGTGCAGATATGTTGTATATCTTACTTGTTTTGACCATGTATTACAATCTTTGTGCAGTTTGTCATCGGCCTTGCTTTTCCAGATTGTATTTCTGATATTTCTTAGATTGCTGTTGGTAAAAGGGCAAGAGAACTGTTTAAATTGGGGCACTGAAGGATAAAAGGGTGACAGCATGCTACCTTGCTCCCTGTGTTGCTGTTAGAGCTATAGGACCTATGTTCCAAAGTGAGTCTTGTTGAAAAAGAATGACAACTGTTGAAATCTAGTTTACAGAGATGTAAACGAATGCATTGCTTGCAGAGCAGCACTGAATTAGGCCTAGTATTTCCGAATCTGGTTTAATAAGCAAAGAATCAGGAAAAAAAAAAAAACGATCTGCACATTTATCTTGAGAATATTCAGATGAGCTTTTTTTAGTTGAGGGACAAAGTTTCTCTTTAGACTTTGTCTGTATTCCAGCTTTGACTGGAAAGCTGAAAGACTTAAGCCAAGAGTTTTAGTAATGGTGTTTCCTGAGATGTGAGTTTTTTTAGTTTGAGAGAACATCTGGCTGCTTGTGAAGTTGTAGACTTTGTTTTTTTATTTTTCCCTAGGATCAGGGCCTGCCAAAGCATTTTTTTATGCAATCTTGGAAAAGAATCTCTATACTCCTTTAAAAACAGTCATTCCTGGCTGACATTGTCCTTCTTGCTGTAGACAAGACCAGGCTGTGATGCTGGGGAAAATTAACAAGCAATTCGTTGGGATGGACCAGGAATTGAATTAAATTGACTTTGTATAACAGGTGGGACCCAGCTACTTGTGTGGGAGAGGCCACTGACAAGCTCTCAGTATTGGGAAGGGTTTTATGAAGGAGAGTTGTCCACATAGTTGGGGGAACTTAGGGTTGGGAACTGCTGATTGGCAGTATTTTGTGGGACAATTTTAGCACCTGGGTACATGTAATTATTTAAATAATGTTTAAATCTGAAATAATTTTTGAAGTTTTAAGATCAAACTAAGTTAAACTGATGTAATTTTTCTGGAATGGTGAAATTTCTGCCTTTGATAACTTTCTGAATAAACTTGGTTTTATTTTAGTTTTACACAGAAGCCAGCTCTAGTGATAGATTCTTGATGAATGTAATTAAATAAAATGTTATTAAAGGCTGTTTTCTGTAGGTGGCCTGTTACTTCATATACTTAATAAGAGATTCTGCGTGGTTAATGGGAGTAACTGGGTAAAGGTGTCCGAAATGTCCCCTATAAGTAATGCCATTGAAAGAGAGTATTTTAAATTTCTTTTCAACAGCTTCAGTTGCAGCAGAACATTAGGCTTGGATCACCTCCTCTTGTTATCACCGGAAGGAAACTGGAAGATGCAGGAGCTGTTTCTGAAGACGATGGATTACCTAGAAGCCCTCCTGATATTTCAAGCCTTCATGAAGTACTGACAGATTCACCAAGCAAGGTACAAGCATCACATCACTTTAGTGAACTCCTGCACAGATAAGAGAATTTGTTTGGAGCAGGAGGAGATCTTTCTGTTTGCTTGTCATAAAACCTCTCCACTCACTAAGATGTGTTTCAATGACCTTTTTAACTCAGTTTCCTATATATATGCCTACCGTACTCTGACGTGATATTTGTGTAGAGTACTGCTAGTTACCCATTTCAGATAAATGTTTGTGAACGAGGAACGAGCATAATTCTTGGTCCATGAAAGTCTGTTTCCACTAATGAACTGTCTTCAGGTTTAGAAGCTCTTTCTTCTAGAGGTCTGTCAGGCAGTGGTGAGGATCAGTTAGAACGCGAGTAAATTACTGAGGTGGATTCTGGACTCATCACTGAGAGAGCTGTCTCACAGATACCCCTTCTGAGCACTGTTTTCTATGGCTTCATGTAGAACTGTGCTGGGGCAGTTGAGACCTCTGTCATTAGGGGAAGAGGAGAATAAAGAGGAAGGTCAGCTGTTTTGGCAACTCTGAGCGCCTTTGGGCAAGTTAGTCTTACCAGGTAGGTCCATACGGCAGAAAGCACAAAAAGTGAAGTATTCGGGGTAAATACTGCGATCCCGTGACCATACTGCTTCTAGTCCCAGAGCAAGCTGAGGTACCTGCTCTGCACGGTAAGCAGAAGAGATTTAGTGTGTTTTAAAGTTAGTGAAGAAAACAAAAATAGTGGAGGCTGTAGGAGTATCTTAAACAATTACTCTTTTTAGAATGAAACAGCTCAGAACGAGGGGCGATTTTAGTTGAATCAACAGGAAAGTGACAGCCCTATGCGTATGATGAAAAGAGGTCCTGATGGCCCTCAAAGAGGGGTTATAGGTTATGTTCTTGCGTAAGAATTTCCTTCTAACAGTAGATGCATGCTTTGGGATTTGAATAAGTATGTGAGCATTTGTCACTTTGAATATCTTAAAACAAGAAGCCAGAATAACTTTAAAAAATATATTGGTTCAATTTCCCCATTGAAGTGTGTTGCTTTGTTGTATATATATCCAGCAGAGTGTTTTTGTTCTTTGTAGCTGACCTTTGTGGCATATCTCATAGCAGGATAAAGCTCCCCTTTTCTTTGTCTGATCCCCAATGAAGGAATGAAACCTATTCTGTGAGGTAGGGACTTTGCCGTGAGCCTTCCTTTATCCCTCCTCTTGTATTTTCTCATAATTATCACTGTATATTCAGTCCCAGATAACGCTGTGTGTTACTTCCCTTGACTTACCCTCTTCCTTATTTTATCCCACAGTCCTCCAACCTTGTTCAGCGTCATAGCTCTTTGAGTTTAGGCGGGACAGACAGTGAAGATGAACAGGTAAACAGCTATTCTTCCTCCTAATAAAATTTCCTGAGACAGCATGTGTGGCGTCTGTATGGAGCCAGTACAGTACTCTTTTAGCTATTCTGGGTAGAATAGATCCTAGCAAACAGTTCATGGGCAGTCCCTAGTAGATGCAGGGATACTTGAAATGTGCCTCTCATAGAATTTTGAAGAAGAACCCAATAAATAACTGAAACCTGTCGGTGAGTAATGTAAAAAGCGGCAGAAATCTATTGGTAAGTGCGTTGTGTGAGCAGCGTAGCCAGCTCCGTAATGCAGTATGACTCTGTAAAGTTACACAACTGGAAATTGGACAAGGTGTCACAGACCTACGAGGTAGTAGGATACTGAAATTCAGCAAAGCATGGTTCACTTCACCTTCCACACCCTAGGACCCAAATGCGCAACAGCAGTTACAGCTTAATAGTACCTGCCTATCAGCAGTGGCTGCTGAGCAATGCAGGATCAGCCCTTCCCGACAGCAGGTATTCCATGAGCAAAGAGCCTGGGTTAATTTGCTGTTTACTTTGGATTGTAAGAGATCCTCAGAAGCAGCAGGTCTTGGTGTCAGTCCAACACAGTCTATTCCCTGACCAAACTGGAACAGTTAACAGGGGTGATACTTTTGGAGAAGAGCCTAGGAGACCCTTCACCTTGACTGTCCCCGCGGCATGGACCCGAGCTGAGTGCCTGTCCACCTCACGCCTTCAGGGCAGACCTGTGAGGTTTGCTTTTATTTCCTTTCTCTCCAGCATTGATATAACGTCTGAAGGACTCATTAGACCACAGCTACGCCAGTGGGGACCTCAAACGCTCGTGCCAAAGGCAGCCACCACTCTGACAAGGCTGGTTCAACTCAAGGGATAGCCCTTGCCATTGTATGAGCAATCTAATTTGCCATTTAGCTGAGAAGGGGAAATGTTATGGGTCCAGAGCAGCTGTGGGTCATTTTGGCCCAAGCTTTGCTGTCCTCCGTACAGCTTCCCTGTCTGAGAAGCTCGCCAGAGAGAAGATGAATTAACCCTTTGTGAAGCTGGGAAGAGCCCACAAGTTAAGGGAAGGGGGTAGCAGAGTGGAATATTCTCTCCTGAAAAGGAGGGCCTTAAGCAGCCAGGGCAGCGTCCTGAGGGTCAAATGATTAGTGCCAACCACACTGCTAAGGCAGCTTTCCCTTCCACTCCCTCCTTGGCCAGCCTTTGAGAAGTGAGAGAGCAGCCTTTGGGCAAGACTGCCTCAGCTTTCCAGTGGTTGAGGTCAGATGCTCTCCTGCTCAGTCATCGCTGGCGTGGTTGCTTTCGGGGTAGAAAGATGAAGCAGTGTATTCCTTCTCGTAATAGGCAGCTAGTCAGAGAGCTCTAGAGGCCTAAGTGATCTAGGTAACTTTCATTGTCATTATTTTTTAATAACCTCGTTATATGTATTTTATCATTAGTTCAACTTGCATTTTATTAACTCATCTCCTGTTGTATATTTTGAGTAAAATATTCCATTTTACAGACCTGTAGACAGGTTTATATATATAAAACAGCCCTTTTCTTTCTGGTTCTGAAGTGTTTGAGGTCTTTCTGTCTTATGTCCTCATCTCCTGTGAGAAAGAAGAGGAAGGACAGGAGGAAAATTTCTTTCTGTTCCATGTTGCACAGAATTCCCCTACTTAAAGGCTCTTTCTTGTTCTCCTCAACTCACTAGGAGTCTGACTAGCCTCTCTAGGGTATGACATCTGTTCCTTTACCCAAATATTTTTCTTAGTCAGCAGATGGACTCAGTAGAAATCTTACCAATATGTTTATCTAAAATTAAAAAGCGTTTCCTAAATAATCATCATTTTTGCAATAACATTTGTAACTATTTGTGTAATACCAGGATTTGAACTAGCAGAACGCGGCTTGTTAAACTGAATAACCTCATTCTCAAAGATGAAGAAAATGGTGAACAGCACCATGAAATTAACACCAGTTGTTCTGTTTAACAATGCTGTTTGTTAAATAAAGGAAAAAGTGGATTTGATCCTAGGAGTTACACACAGTGTAGTAGTTTACTTTTTACCACTGTACTGATATTGCTGCAGATGATAGTGACTTGATGTCTTTGCCCTGCGCTGCTTTTCTGAGCTTTCCAAGAGCTTCATGCTGCTGTTGCCTCTGTGGGAAGCCCTGATGTGCCACCCACGATAATTCTCAATGCCTTCCACGTTTGTAAACGCACAGTTTCTGACTGGTCCGAAGATAAGTGTGAGGCTGTCACTCAAAGATAGCAGCAAGTGACTTTACAGAGACATTAACCAGCATTACACTGGTTGCCAGATAGCGTTTCCCAAAATCTAACTTCCTTGTTGGCATCTTCAGCACAGACTGATTAAAAGCAAAGCAGAGTCTCATCTTGTGAGGCTGAAGAAAGTTTCTTGGCACAAACACGCGTTAGGAAACGTCGCTCTTAGCTGCAGCGTTTTCCATGTGCAGGCTCCTGTAACTGACCGATAGCCAACCAACCCCAAATTCGTCTCACATTCGGTCACTAATGTGGGGAGCCTGTCTGTGCTCCACTGTCTTTGAGAGAAGAAAGTGATTGTCAGTCAGTGCTGAGAGAGGAGACATTTCCTGACTCCTCAGAGGAGAAGGGAATGTTCTCCATTAAGGGAAAATTCTCCTTTAATGTTCATTTAATAACAGCTTTACTGTCACCAGGGAGCAGACCCTTGGCTGGTGGCGTACAGTGCTATAGTGCAAACCCTAAGCTCTCCTGGCTTTAATGAAAGTCATAGGCTGTAAAAGACTGGATGGTCTCACAGGATTAAAATAAGCAAGAACTATGAAACCTACCTATAAACTAGAGGTGCAAAGTTCATGCAGGTGGTACTAGTTCAGATAGCTTGTAAAATCAGGTACTATTACACAAGCAAACATAACAGCTGATTTTGCCATCTCTACATGGCAGTGGCTCAGATGCTAGCTTCAGGGTTTTTTTAATATTAAATAAGTACAAGTGTAATTTTAAAATTGGAAAGCAGAAGAACTTATATATAGAAATGAGTAACAGTGCTGTTGTTTTTATAAGTTCTGGTGATCCTTAGAGGTTTATTATTAGTTTTGTAGAATTATAGTTAGCTTATTTACTAAACATGCTCTTCTTTCTTCTCATGGAAAAATTACACACTGTGAAAAGAGATCTGGCCTAATACATTCTATTGTGATTTATTTCTGATCTAGGAACCGAAAATAATCAATAGAGCATAAGGAAATTAATTTCTGGTTCTCTTAAGCACAAAGCAATGTACCTAGACAATTTTTGTAGAACAGATGGGAAGACGCTTTTGTTATCTTTAAAACTTCATGAGCATATATTTTACACTCTGTATTATATCTTGAGCTTAAACAAAACTAAAATCTGAATACCAAGCACATTTAAATAGCTATGTTTCACCTGGCTTTATGGCCAAAACCATGAAAAATAGCAAATACGTTATATTGAATGAAGCTTGTTTGACATGTCTGTGTAATTTTGCAAATGTTCAGCACGTCTGGTCTACATTTTAAACCAGTAACAAAACCAGTCAAACTGCATGTTTAGGGATTTCTCTTCAAACATTTCTGCCAACTCGTTATTTTAATAATGTAATCTAAGACTACAGTTGTTTGATTCCCCAGAGCAGCATGGTTGTGAGGGTGAGATCCACATCACTTTGCCTAGAAGATGGTTCTGAGCTACTTGTTGGAGAGAAGCATTTGATTTTTCTGGGAGAGTGGGTATTCAAAGAGCAAAGTGACTGTGGTACTAACTTTCCTAGAGTAACTTTAGACTTTGACTTAACTTTTCTTTCTAACTTTCTGAGAAATAGAAGTAATGAAGAACAAATACCCATTCTGCTTTTGTGGCTTTTTAATATCTCATTCCTGCAATGTTATCAGGATGAAAAGGCAGTTATAAAAACTGCACCAGTGTCTCCTGCTGGTGCATACGTATATTGCAAGTGGCTTTTCGGATAAGAACTGGGAAGGACAGCTGAGGCTGTTACTGTGGGAAAGGAGGATCCAGATATTTCCCACTTCTGTGTAAAATACAGCTAAACGCAACAAATGGAGTTGAAGGCTGTGCAGAGGTGATATTAGGCATGACTGTTGAAAGTGAGGATTCTATGTCCAAAAATATAGCCATTTCAGGCTTCTGAAATGGAATGAGCTAGCAAAGGAAACCTATTTCAGAGGTGGGGGGAAGACGAGCAAAATGAATAATGATTTGTTTTTGCTTTACAGATACCTTCTGGAGGTTCCTCTAGGCCCATCAGTCCCTTGTCCTCTGCTGCTCTTGGGGCCCCAGGCTCACGAGGCTGCAGCTTCCTTCCTGTTGACTTCACCATCCCTGCCAGTCCCCTCGGCTGCCTGGACACCTCAGCAGCCAGGCACAGGATTGCCATAAACCCCCGGAAACAGAAAGGCTTTGCCAACAAGAACCAGCAAACCCAGGTAAGTCTTTTCTGGAGAGGAATCACTGCACAGAAGGAAATGGATGTGTTTTTTTTTTTTTTTAATTTAAAATATTTCTTTGTCCACTTTTCTTCCCTGTCCACGTTTCTTTACTTTTTTCCTTCTTCTATTGGAAGAAGGGAGACGGCCTAATTTCCACCAAATCAGAAACCTTGCTTCAGTTTCACCAGAACTGAATAAAAGTGCAACTTTATCTTTTCATTATTTAGTCGAAAAAGTTCCAGGTGGCACTTCATTTGTAAGATTATTCCTGTTGTTTTAAAAGCCCGTTTTCAGTTTAAAAAAGCCCAAGCCTCTTTCTAGTTTCAGATTAGCTTTAGTTTAATACTTTTATGCCGAAGGAATTAGCCAAAGGCCTTGGAAAGAGATGTGGCTCTGTATATGGGAATCTGTTGTTCAGATGGGTGAAAGCAATGAGTGCAAGAAGGCTTGCGCTCTCTTTGGGGGCCCAAGAGAGCAAAAATTCAGTGGTAATGGATGAAGAGCCTTCTGGAAAAAAGAAATTAGGGTGAGATGCTTCTCATCCTGGCTTCTAGGAAACACACTGTGGAGATAGTTTGCCAGAGGAAGAGGGTGTCAAGCTGGAGCGTGGCAGAAATAAGGAGTATTTCCCTCTGCATCGGAGAACTGTGCATGAAAACATTCCCTCGAGTTAGAAGTGCCCTGGATGAATTCCTGCACTTTAGGAGGGAGGAACAGGGAGGAAAACTCAGGGTGAGTGGAATATAGAGTGAGGCTTTCTTGGAAGCTTGGGCCCTGCAGCATCTTTGCTGGATATTCTTTGTGCTGGAGCTGATGTAACTACAGTGCTGAAGGAGAAAAGCTAATTGTGGAGTGGCAGTCACAAGATACCAGAAGTGATGATAATGTGTCTGGCTTGCTCTGTTCTGTGCAGCCAGGTAACTTGGGTGGTTCCTTAAAAATGTGCTCATTCCCTCAAAATGTGTAAATCCCAGAATGTTTCAGAGATTCAAGAGAGATGAGTGGGCTGCCTTTGATGTTTTAAAGCATGGGTGATTTCTAAGTTCTTAATTGGAATAGCACGTTACCCACAGTGTTGGTAAATTCCAGTATGGGGGTTTTGTGACTACATGTTTTGTGTATTTGTAAACGTGTGTATGCGTGTATAAAATACATGTTTTGTGCATAATTCTTTAATTAAGACATCTTACTGCACCATATTAGGTGGACCAGCTGGAAAATGAAGCATGTCTTCCTGCAGCTCCAGAAAAGAAGGGAAATTCAACAGAATTTCTTGAGGGTGACCAGCATAAAAGTGATTGGGAAGGTAATGCAGACCTATGAATTGCTAAGTTGGTTGCTTGAACTCTTCTGCATGTGGCTGACAGTGAAAATCCTATCCAACTAGACACCTTTTTTGGTCATATATCATAAACCCAATCTTGGCTGCTACAGTGTGATGAGGAAAGAGTCACGTGCTCCGATCAACACAGCGGTGCTGGAACAGTGAACTTCGGTGGCAGCATTGAAAAAGAAATTAGGTGAAGGTAGTATTTTCAGAAGTACTAATGCTACAGAGGTGGCCAGATCTCATTGGCTGGGGTTGGAGTTCCTTGAAACTCAGAAAATGTTTAACTTCAGCATTACATCTGTTAAGCGTGTAATTTCACTTTAGTTGGCCTGTGTTTAGTAGATCTTCCATTGCTACCTCCCCCTCTTATTATTTGAATAATAGCTAACTGTCAGTAGTAAAACGATTGTAATTGTGAATTATAAAAACAACTGCAATTTCTCCAAAATGGCACGCAAGCTTCTATCTTTACCATTGTATTATATGGTAACGCTACAGTGTAGTGGTGGGAATGTTGGAACTTTGTTGTCAAGGCAGACTTGGGACCTGGTGCTCCGAGATGTTAGGTATCTCAGACCCAGGGTATTAGTGTTAGCTGGGCGCTGAGGACTCCTACTGTTTCAGAGGAGGGAGTGTCAAATGGAGCACGCAAATATCGTCTATCCAGTAGCTGGGCATCTCTAGCTCATTCAGAAAGGGCTTTGAGATCTGTTGATGGAAAGATCTGTAAGTAGTATTTTCTGCTGTCATACTCCTATCCTGAATTTCCCAGCCAGAAATCTGCACAGCTCAGTGGATCTCAGGTGCCTAAGAGAGGGTTAGATTTACTGTACCTGCACTGTATGGTTGAGGTAGGGTAAACCCCGTCCCCAGGGGAGCTGCTGGTCTGACTCTGCATGCACAAATCGCCTGTACCATAGTAGTCCTTTGGGCTGCTTCACAAACACTTCCGGCTTACTGTGTGGGTGGACACATCTCAGCTGTCCAGATGTTCAGCAGCCCTGAAAATGATTTGATACCAGTTCAGCAGACAACTGATCAACTGCTTGATGCAAGTTCAGCAGACAGCAACATTCAGTCATTCCCAGGATTAGGTATATTCAAACTACAAACTATGAGTCTCCTCAACTGGGCTTCCCCTTTCTAAGTGTGCTTTTAACAGCCTTGTAATGGCAGCCAAATAAGGGGAACTCATGCTAAATGACTGCACTCTCTGGAGTGAATTACTCATATGGGTGGTCCTCGAGCTGTAACCTTAAAGTGCGCACTTCTCTTCTTTTGATATAGGCTTATCAGCCAAGGCAGAATATGGTGCAAAGGGAAGTGTTTCTAAGGAGACACCAGCTGTAACAAGTCCCACTGATGCGGCCCCTGACTTTCGCCATTCCATGCTTGTGGCAGAAGACTTCTGTGCTCTGTTGCAAGAGGATGCATGCCTTCCAGACACAGACCCTCAGAATAAGGCAGCGTCTCCAGTGAACATGGAGGAACATCACAGGGCAGAGGTGCTGTACTGTTTGGGTGAATCTGCTGATGGATTGAAATTACATCAGGAAAATACCAATACTGGAGTATCTGCACTTCCAAAATCTCAACAAATTAAAGCAGAAGCTGTTTTGTTACCAGACACACTAGCAGATGACTTGTTTAGCAATAGCATGGAAACACAGGACACAAATATATTGGCAGATGTTGCACAAAAGTCATCAGCAAAATCTGTGGACCAAAAAGACAAAGTCTGGGAAAAGGGGGATCCACCGTTTACTGGCAAAGTAGAAGCTTGCCTGGATGCTAGTGAAAATCAGTCTATCCACTCTGTCTCACATCCTGCGCTGAGCATTTCACAGGCTGGCCTAGCCAATCCAGGGTCTTCTTTTGACGTCAAGACACTGGCTGTTTTCAGTCCAGAAAACAGTTCAGGGACAAGAAATGATAAAGAAACTTACGAAATTATGGAATTTCAGTCATCCGAAGGCAATGCAGAAACAAAAACAGATGCTGCTGCATCTGTCTTGGAAGCAGATTGCATGGTGCCCCCTGGTAAATTGGATGTATGTTTCAAAGCGGAATTGCCTTGTCCTGTTTTGAAGGGTAAGGAAGACAGTCAACAAACTAGCATACCATACACCTTTGAAAAACTTTCCATTGGATGTCTTGCCTCCTCGAGTTTGTCTGGCTTGAAGAGTAATATCTCTTCTAATGATGACAATAAAGAGTGCCAGTTAAGCAGTACAGCTTCTCACACAAAAACGCTGAGAGAGAGCCAATCTTTGGAAGAAAATATAAAAACGCCACTAAAAACTGCTGCCGCTAAACCAGTTAGATTTACCATTGCACCAGCATGGCAAAGATCTCTCTCAGGGGGTTCAAATTCAAAGGAGGATTCTTATAGCAGAAGTTCCCCAACCTCCCCTATAAGACCAGAGTTATTTGAAGGAACAACAAAAGAGCACACACATTTTGATGCCGTCATACAGGAGTCTGCAAAAAACATCTCCGATAGATTTGATGGAGATAGTAAGGACAGTGACTTGCATTTGAATTCTTCCATGGAGTGGGCTGACCACGAAGCACAAAATGTTGAAAACCCGTTTGGGGTCAGACTAAGAAGAACATCTTCATTACTGAAGTACCAGAGCGAAAGCCGTGCTGAGTTTCCAAAGCTGATTCCCTCAGCTGTTCCCACTGTTTCTTCTCTTTCAGTCAGTGAGGATCAGAAATCAGTTGGCCCTGGGAAGCCATCTCCAGGCCTTCCTGTGAGCACAAAATCATTTATTAAAAAATCAGATCTCCTAGAAGACAAAAACCCTCCCAAGGCAAAATCTGGAGAAGTGGCAAAGAAGCAAAATAGTTGTAAGCCTTCAGGTATTTACACTCTGTTTTTATCCAAACATTGTAGAAAACAGTGGCCTTCTGAGACCCTTGACAGAGTGGCACACAAAAGATAAGAACTCTCTTGAATAGGACCACATTCAGCCTTGAGTTCATCAGCACCATAATTTAATTGGCTTGATAATTTGGCCGGTCAAGAGAATTCTTGGTTTATCTTAGTGAGGGATGTATTCCAGCAAGAATAACAACCGAATAATAGCTTGAGAGCATCTGAAATGTTTCTGATATGACTTACTTCTACATACAGCTGGGGTTTTTATATCGCTTTTTAAAACTTGCTGCTGTTTTGCAGTTAATTTTTCAGACTGTGGCAGCTGAAAACTTAAATCACACCTGACACAATTCCTAGTTTTTTTTCCTCCAATCACTTGGTTTAAAATACTAGAAAAGTGAAAAGGCGGCCTGTATTTTACTGCCTACATGAAAAAATAGTGGTTATCATACTCATTTAATCTGCAATGTAAGGTTGTTGTTTCAAAGGCAAAATCCACAGCGGTCTCAGTGGGAGTTCTGCCATTGACTAAAACGGAAGCCTGGTCAGGTCAAAAACTCCAGAATAAACAGAAAAGCAGTTATTGCCAAGTACAGAGTTGTCAGGGAAGGTAATTTTATCTCTGCACTGTTCAAAGGGTATACAGATGCTGCAGGATTTAAAACACAAAGCACTAGCTTTAGACTGACTTGACCTAAATCCCTTCTTCACTTCAGAAATGCTTTTTTTATAGAAAAACTCTCCTCTCCACATTTGGAAACTGCTTCCTCTGAACCAGCTTGGGTCTCCATGGCAAAACTAAAACAAAAGGGTTTCCAGGGCCACCCTCTTGCCAAAGAACATAAAGCTGAAGACAAAGCTTTGACCAAAGTGGATCGAGAGGAGGTAGAGTATAGACTAATGTTGCATGGATGTGAATCCTGCACCAGGTTGCCTGGGTACTTGTGCAAACTGCTCAGTACAACATTCATGGCAGGCAGGTTGTTAGCACCATTCACAGACAAATTTTCAGGACTGAGCTCTGAAACATTGTAGCAGACAGCTGATTTAAATGAATTAACAAACATGTGACTATGCTGTGCAAATCAGTCACTAGTTTCAGAGCTGGATCCTTCTATGTATTCCCTTTCAAAGGGAAAAGGTTCAAATCTGAACCTTTCCAGAGCTCGACTGGTGCCAGCATACGTTTGGGTAGCCTGGGAACTGCTGTGAGTTGCAGTAGCTTCCCCGGTATTGGTGACCTACAGACAGCATGCAGTGCACTGCCCCAGGGACCGTGTACCCGGAGTTTGGGTTTTCCACTGGCTTTTGCACAGATTTCCTGTGCAGCTTGGGCAAGTCCTTCAGTTTCCCCATCTGTGAGGCAGAGAGGATAACCTGCTTGCATGCGCAGTAACCCTGTATTTATGACAGCTGTCGTCTTTCTTCCCCTCTCCCTCCCTCCCACAGGGTATTCCCAGCCATCCTTGGCTTTTGGTGCATTCCCACAATCAGATTTGGAGGTGCTGCCAGGACTCTGAGGGCAAGCTTTCTGAGTGCAAGTGGCTAGTGGGTTCCTTATTTGCATTCATTTCTCCTCTTCTCCCTCTTGTAGCAAGCTAGTGAGAACGTATTGAGGAAGAGTACACCTCTCAGCTTGAGCTCTCAGGAAAAGAAGCTGCAAATGAAGAGCAGTGTGTCTGCTGCAGCAGGTATTCTCTTTCATCCACATCTTTACATAGTGACTATAATTTTCATTAGTAAGTGGTGAAGGTGGTGGGTAGCAGGGGGGCAGATCACTGCCTTTTTGGTAATCAGCACACTTTATATAAGGCCTGTTGAGACTATGGTTTGCATATAAGTGAATGCACTGCCCTTCTTGCTTGCCACAGAAGGCAAGTGAAGAACTTTCTCTCTTCTGCCAGCTCATGAAGGAGGGTATAAACAGTATGGTGATTTACTATTGGTAGAGGTCAGTACTAAAGAGTATTTTCTAGGGAGCAGTTGAAGTTGGAGAGTGTCCAGAAAGCAGCAAAAAAGGTCAGATCTTCTAGACCTGCAGTCAGCCAGGAAGTGCTGATAGGAGTAGAGTTATTTAGTCTAAAGAAGACTTAATTTGCTGCAGAGAGGAAGAGACTAGTCTTTATGCCTGGCTTGGGCTTAAAATGCATCAGGGGAGGTTTAGCTTAGACATTAGGAAAAGCTTTCTAACTATAAGGGTAGTGAGGTACGGCATAGATTGCCTGTAGAAGGTGTGTAGTTTCCATTGCTGGATGTTTTTGAGAAGTTGTTAGTTAAATATGCATCAAGAATAATTCAGGTAGTCAGTTCCACCCTTGGGTGAGCAGAGAGATTGGATGGCCCCTCTCCTGCCCTGTTTACTGAGACTGTAAGAAAGATGCAGGGGAAGAGTGTGACTCAGACATCATGACTCATGTACCTCTTCCAGGGCTACTGCTGGGCTGCAGCTTATCCTTCCCTGCATACTCATTGTGGTGCCAAACCTCAGAGACGTGCTCCAACTAGGTACAGATAAGCCAGTTCTTCAGCCACGTAAAAGAATATTGCGCTAGCTGAAAGCTATTGATTTCGAATGCTTCCTAAGAACATAAGAAATGCTCCACTGTGTCAGAGCAGTAGCTTATCTGATCCAGGTTTCTGTCTCTGACGTTGGCAATAAGAGATGCTGTCTAGAGAGAGCACGTGCGTCTGATCGCTTTCTGCAGTCCTTAATCCACTAGCATCCAGAGTTGTTGTATTAGGGATGTTAGGGAGTACATCCCTGCCTGCACCCCGTAGTATCTGTCTATAGACCTGTTTTCACATCCCTTTTTGAACCTACAAGTACTGTGAAATAAATCTTTTCCCCTTACTACAGATAGCTGACAAGCTGAGGATGTGCATCACCAGACAGATTCTGATGTCAGCTGCCAGCCTAACTGTGTGTGTGTGTGATTAAAATACAATTTTCTTTTTAAGGGTTCTCTTACAGGCCAGCTTCATATTGTAAGGCTTCAGGTGCAAAGTGAGGGATGAAAAATAAACAGGCCAAAATTTTTGCTTGGATTAGAAGGAGGTTTTCTTTTGGAAGGCTGGCACAAACAGACTGCACTTCTCTATGTTGAATCGTCTAAACCTGGGAGGCCAAGCACCCTCCAGTGGAAATCTAAAGTGGAGTTGTGTACTGCAGGGATGTTTGGTTTTGCACTGCTACTCATTTGCTAGAACTCATACCGCTTGTGAGCCTTGCAGCAATATTGACAATTTTTCTGCATCACCTCTTCCCAAGAACTGACCTAGTTTGCTGAAATCCAGTGACTGTTTCTTCCCCTCAGGGATAGAATTTACAGGGATATTCTAGTCTTCCACCCGCTGAATCTTGCCAAGAGCTCTGACCAGTGCTGATGTTTAAGGAAATCACCACTCTTCAGCTGCTCAGAAAACCATGCCCTGTTGCTAAGGTGACGTTCAGCCCTGTCAGCACATGAACAGGAAAGCAGGAATTCCAAATGTAAACTCTTTTCCTCCCTGATTTTGTTCCTACTAGTGCAGACAGAAATTTGTCTGGGTGAAGATGCTGTTGATGAAAAGGATGTAGGTTTACTATCCAGAGGCGTTATTTATTTGGATCTTATTTTTTGGCTTATGTGAATTGTCAGCAGTTTCCTTCTCCCTTGATGTGTAGTTGAGGTTTTGTGTGTGATGCACACATCCAGCACACAGCAGCAAGAGGGAGGACAGCTCAAGGTCAACTAAGTTTGGAAGAGAATTTCAAGAAATCAGGTCCTTACTGTACTGAGTGTGACTGTTTTGTTACTGCTGCACGGCAGCCCATGTTATAACCAAAGGGAAAATTACTTAGTTTGTCTCTTCTCTTTCTTCCATTTCACCCTACACATGGTGAGGCTTGTCACAAAGCCAGTCTTCTCTCAAATTTTCGTGTGCCACCATTTTTAGTTTTTGTTTTACCCTGAGCTGTTGAAAGCCTGCAAAAGGATTTGAGACTCACTTTTGCTTATTACAAAGAAGAAGGTCTCCCAGAGTGTGCAAATCCATTTCCAAAATCAGATTTTCAGTAAGACTTAAGCTCACTTCTGAAAAATGCACTGTGTATGAGGAGCTGCAGCCAGTTCTTACTGGATTGTTTGCTTCTTCCAGTAGTCCAGTAAGTATAGCTTACCCCCTGCAAGAGCTACCAATGGGCCAGGATTGTGAAAAGGACCAGAGACTTCCTGAGTGGAGGTAGGAACTTACGTAGCTTTGCCCAGGAGTGTGACTGGCAAAGCTGATGGGCACTTTTCATTGATTTAAATTCTAGCAGGATCATAGTTCATGAACTTCATACTGCTTAAGTGCCCATGTGGCCTCTCTTGTGCTGGCATGCAGCGGTTTCACCTTGTCTGCCATATACCTGACACAGACCAATCAAGAACCAGAAAATATTTGGGTTTTTCCCAGGCTCTGACTTACACATGGGAATATAGTACTGCCTGTGTTGGAACAGAGGGAGAGATGATGCACAGCATTGACAGACTTGTGAACCGTGTCACAGGAGATGAGAGCTGCATCTGTTCAGAGCTGCATTCTGCAAAGCCCCATCCCGGGCAGTCTGTCTGAAGAAATCAAGCTTGACAATCTTCAAACAAGATGGATGGAGGAAGTCTTTTCTAAATGGTAGCTTGAAGACATATTAGCAGTGTTATCTGCATTCCTCCTTTTTTCTGAGGATGACAGGCTTGTGTTAGGCTGCATGCAAAACAACATATAGCCCCATAAGCATCCCACCTTCTTGTTTTACAGATCCAAGACCATAAAGCGTTGGTTTGACCTTGTATTTAATAGTGTTGCTGGAGTAGGAGTATTTGTGCTGGCGGTGAAGACTGAAAAATAAATCTTTAAAATTCTCAGTGTTGGAAAACATACACCAGTTAATTTAACCCCGCAGTGAACCTTACCCTGCAGATATTCAGTTTTCATTTTCCTGCATGCTCAGGAGTCTCATTTCTAGATCTTCTTGCACTCACAGAGCGGAATAAGCCTGTGGAACTCCTAGCTGTGCACTGTCATGGCACCCAAGAGTTTGAAAGGAAAGGAGAAAGGAAAGAAAGAAGTTAGCCAAGAATATGAATAGCAAGAATACCTGGGGCTATAATCTCCATGCATTCGAAGAACTTTGTGAATCAGGACTTAGACACTTACTTATCTCCTAGGCCTCAGGAGAAGATTCCTTTAAGGGCGGATTATTCACTGACAGCTTAGAATCAACTTTTCCATTGACACAGTTAATCCTATCCATTGTTGCAGCTCGACCAGCTAGTGCTAGCCGTACCCAAATTAGCAATTCCTCTGACTTTTATTTTTGAGTCACAGACATTCTGGACTGTTAAATGATTGCTTGAGAGTGAGGGGGAAAAATTGTTGGCATAAACTGAGTTTGAACTGTTCAGCCTTCTGATAAATGATGGATATCTTCTTGTTGGCAGGTAAAGTTGGACCTATCGCTCAGGAAGCGTCTGTGGTTCCTGCTATTGAAAAGGAAACAAGACAGAAAAACATGCAGCCCTGCTGACCCACCATGGCTATCCCTGGCCAAGAAGAAAGCCAAAGCATGGAGTGAAATGCCCCAGATTGTACAATAGCAAATGACCTGAGCGTCCTTCTTTGTATTGCCAATAGCCGCATTAACTCCATTTAGTCACTTCTTTACTGTGACCGTTTTTTGAGAAATAAGAGCCTTAGAACTTCTAACCATGCTGTTACCTGTAAATACACAATGAAGAAATACCACTGAGAGCTTAATCTAAAGGGTTAGGAAGCTGAGCATTTCCTGCTACCAAATACTAGGAAAACTTGATCAGTTTATTATATACTTACATGTTTGACTGAAAGACACTGATGCTCTGAGAAGACATGCTTCGGGCTTTTTAAATGTTTCCCTTTCAAAATGTGTTTTTAAAGTTTCTACAAACCACACAGTGTTTTTGAACTTTGGCTTTGGATAGGAAATTGATGTGTGCTATAAAATAGATACAGTGCTCTGCACTGACGCATCACGACTCATGGGTGTTGATGTCGTAACACTTCTCTAGCTGATGCTCTGGGACGGGCAGTCTGACCTTGCTTCTGATTGTTAATGGATGTATTTTGTGGTAGCTATGGGATCCAAACGGTGGTGTGAGTTGGAGCGATTCTGTTTTTCAGGTGGTTTGAAGTCAGTGCCTTGGGCCTTGCACACTGATGGCTGCTGGAACGGCCCAGAGCCTCCTGTTCTCTTCCATACGCCAGAAGACCACCACTCTCCAGGGAACACCCTGCTCTTGGTTACACTTTTGGAAATCTGGGATATTAGGCCTTACATCAAAAAAAGTCCTTTCTTTAATTGTGACAAATAGCAATTAATTTTTCTGTGGAATTCTTTGGCCGGTTGTCTCTCCTGAAGAGTGTGTTGGGAATGGGAAATAATTGCAGCCCAGAAGCTGGCATCTTTGTTTGCAGCAAATGCCCCTGCTGTCTGTGTTCATGCAGCTGTGTATTTAGACAAGTGCTTTTGCTGTTAGTGATAAAAGGTCATCATCTGCTTTTCTCCTTGCCTCATCAGTTTTTAACCAAAAACTCAACATCCATCTGAAAATGTGCATCTGGGAAAGGATTATTCTTTCAGGGCCTGGCCTTGCAGTCACTGAAGTTGACAGGAGTTTTGCCGTTGACTTTGAGGGGAGTAGATATTGAAAAAGAAACTTTGGAAAGTGATGATGGTGGTTTAAATGGCAGTGGTACTTACCCATCCTTTTTCATTTTTTGCAGCATTGCACGTTTATAAAGTAGGTTTTGTTTACAGTCAGTGCAGAATTTGAAGGCTGACTTAGCTGATGGACTGTTTTTAGCAAGTTGATAGGTGTGTTTAAGGAAAATGTTATCTATTGATAGGTTTAGCAACAAAGCAAAAATGTTGGTTTCAGATCAGCTCATTAACAGGACTTCAATCTTACAATTCTGGCCCGAATTTAAATAAATAGCTCTTGAAGTTTGAACACAGTATTAATTAGGAGCTGGACTGTGAAACTTCTTTATATAGGTGAAAACCTACTCAAATAGGCCCACTGAAGCTATAGCTTCTGTGTATGTGTATGAACACCGGAAAGAGTAAGGGTTTCACAATCAGTTTGGTAATCCAGGCCTGTGTTACTGCTTTTTTCCCTCTATTTTAAGAAGCATATCTTCTCTTGCAAAGAACAAAAGTATTTGTATTTCTCTGAAACTTTTGAGTGTAATGTAAAAGAACATACTAAACTTTGATTCCTAAAGTTTTGTACAGCTGACATCCCATCACAAGCTCTCTGACCCTCTGTAAAATACGTGCTTTTCTATATTCCGCAAATTCTCTTCTCTTTTTGTTAGTATGAATTGTGATCCTTCACCTAAAGTGCTGCAGATGGTACTAAAATCTCTCTTTCCCAGTGTTACTTTTGATCTTAATATTGATTCTGTCTTTTATGTTTGGTCTGTATATATGTTTTTTTTTAATGCTTGCCTTGAAGGAACCCCTTTTGTATTCCATTCCTGTATTTGGTTTGCTATTAAACGCTGCTATCGGTGATGGTGATATAATTCCTGGGAAAATAAGGCTACTTGATGGTCCTCATTCATTAAGGAAAAAATAAAATAAAAAAAAAAAAGACTTTGGACATTATAGACACTCTCTATGGATATACTGCATAGATCTTATTCTGAGATGATTTCATCTGTGTGGTCTAGGATTGATCAACACAGTTGCTCAGAAACTGTGGTTACAGGCTCAGGAGCTTTTCTAAGTCTAGCTACTGGAGTTTAAAAAGCCATCACCTGAGCTGATGGCCCTCCTTTTGTTCTGGAGTTAGTGCTCCTGCAGTTCATGGCTTGGCCTGAACACCAGCGATCCTACCCTCTCAGGAAGCCTTGCAATAACTCATCTGAATGTGTGTTTCAGTATTGCTAACCAGCTGCTCTAAGAAATTTTAGGATTGCTTTAAAAAAAAAGAGCATATGAGAATCATTTAATCCTACATTTGTCATTTATTGCCTTCTGGACTTTTGAAGTGAACATTTTCCAGTTTTTCTCAGCCACCAAGAGGGCAAAAAAAACATGCAGAGGAAAAATCAAAACTTGAGTCTCATGTAATCACAAGACTTTAGAAGCTGGGGAAACGTTGAAACATCAGTGATTTAATGATCATTTTATGAAAGTTGGTAGCCATAGTAGTATGGCTTTGACTTCTTTTTGTCCATGTGTAGCTTCTAGGTATTTTATCAGTGCAAATAGTTAATAATATAAGCTCCTTTGGGGTGGTTTAAAAAAAAAAATCATGATTATTTCCAGACACAGTCACTGTCTTTGAAAATAAGCTGCCTTGAAGTGCAGAGTTCGTTGCAAAACATCCCTGAGGTTTTATGGTTTGGTCTTCAGTGGATCTGGACATCTGCCCCTGAAGTTCCCTGTGTACGGTGCAGGCTCTGGGCTTTAAGCTGACTTCTGTGCTGCGAAGTGACAGCAGAGGGTGCTCGTGCCATCCCCAAGGAGTACGGAAGGGTTCATAGTGCCACCGAAGGCAGATTTCAGTATGCATTCATTTGTATGTACACTATTACAGTAAGCAGGCTGGAGGCTTTCATTGATGCAGAGAAGGGGAGTCAGAGAGAAAGGGAGAGGGGTGTATTTCTATTTGTGATTTGATTGAATTTTTTGAGCTATAAAATACAGGAAAATGCTTCACCCTGTTGTTAAAAGAAACCACTGAGAACTGGTGACAACCATGGAGAAAGATAGCTTGCATGGTGACTTCAGTCCTGTAGTGGGGCTGTGCAGGAAGAGGTGTGAACGTGTCTTCAAAAAGGGGTATGTGTAGTTTGGCGTTTTAACTCTGCTGCTTAGAACACTTGGTGCCTGGCTAGAAGCTGATCTTCACCCCAGCCAGATGTGGAATCTGATGATTTTGCAGGAGAGGTTAGAGAGGCAAACAGCAACTTGGCAAGCGCGCAGATGGTGAATATGGGGATTCCTCCTGCTCTAACGGTGAGCTATAACGGCTAGTGCTAGAAGAGAACCTGTTATCATCCAGCTGCGGATCTGCTTGGAATTAACTAGGTTTGTGGACAAGAGGGAAGGAATGTGGTTAAACAAGGAAAAAGACTTTAAAACCTCGAAGCCACATGCTTTTGTCCCAGTACAACTCTGGGGGCAACATATTCATTACTAGTGCTGAGTACGCATCTCCTTCAATAGCCCCGAACAATTCACTCTAAAATACACATATAACTCAGGAGCCAACACTCGTTTCAATGACCGTAATTAGAAGGAAGGTCTTAGAGTGGTTGGGAATGATTAATCATATTGAAAGCACTCGCCCTTTTCATGTTAGAAAGTCTGGGTAGAGAGGGTCCCCCTAACTAGTATTACACTCTGTCTTTATAAGCGCAGTGATTTAAAATATTGAATATAGTTACTTTGTTTGGAAATGTTACAGTAGAAGTTCTCAGCCTAGGAAGGAAATAAATCCTGAGCTGGTCTCACCTGCTCTGGTAAGTGCTTTTGAGATCAACAGAGGAAAGACATTGTCCTGTGAAGATACTTTGTCCTTTAGAGCTGGTACTGGGAAGTGATACGCCTGAAGCATGCTAGTAGTCAGAGATGTGATTAGCAGCCTAGTAAGACACACATGTCTCTCTCTCTTTTCCTCTAGCGTGCATTAGCCTACCTGTTTTTTTATTAGAGAGTTATCCTGGTTGTAAGATTTGGCACACGTGTCTCATCAGCTGTCACCAAAATGTTAGTAATTAGTGAAACATCCCACGTTTGGGGAATGTGAGCTTCTGTTTAGGATTCTGGCCTTGATTTCTTGCAAGATAAAGCTGTTGCGTTCTCTGTCTCCTGTGCTGTCAGGAAGTGTTTGTACTCAAAGCACTGCTGCTTGTTACAGGCTGTTACAGACTGGATTAGTGCTTGCTGTAGTGATTAGGAGAAACCTCTATTTTTAATTGAAAATGTTTTTTTAAACATCCTTCATAAAAGTAGGCAAGTGAAAGAAAACTAAAATTCCGAACTCTGAGCGCAAAACCATGCATCTGCCCGGAACAAAGAGGCTGCTCATGCGTTTCAAGCTGGCTGGATGGAGGGGCCTAGCTGGGTGAAGGTGAGCAACTATGGAAGAATAACATAGCTGAGTTCAAGCTGAGAAACAAGAACTTGGAGCGGTAAGCTACAGCTCAAATTATTTTTGCATGGTGAGATGTGCTGAAGCCCAGGGAAAGGTATTGAAAGGGGGCCTGTGAGTAGAGAAGTTCTTCGTGCATCTGTTCCCCCAGCGCACAGGGATGTATGTTCTCGTAAAGGAATAGAAACGCATTAGAGATGCACGCTGCCCTCCTCGTCTGCTTTTTCTTTTACTGATGCAGTTCACGCCTTTCCACATCGTTTGGCCCAGGGGAGGTAACACTGTGTCACCAAGCCTCTTTCCTTACTCTGGACCACAGTGAGTGGGTAAACGCGTTGTTTACGCTGCAGGTCAAAGCATGCTGTAACCTGCTGGTCGGGTC